GTGTCGAGGGTTTCTCCGGTCAGACTACGGACGTCCAGCATGTGCAGTGACTTTGATAGGCCTCAAGTTATCCAAAGTCTTAAATCCCCAGACCATTAAACCCTAAACCCCAAACCCAAACAAATCCCCAGAACCCTAAGCCCTTACCCCAAACCCAAACAAATCCCCGCACCCTAAGCCCTTACCCCAAACCCCAACACCTCTGAAACCATCCTCATAGGCCCTGTAAAGCCCCAAGGATCCATGTACCCAAATAGCATAGACTCGGGGAGTTTCCGAAAATACCTTATTTGGGGGACCTTATAATAAGGGTCCTACTATTTAAGGGTGCTATTTTGTGTCGTATTTCACCCTTTTAGGGTTCCTTTTGAGGGAACCTGTAAAGGGTACCATGGGGTTTGGGGCTATTTGGGGGTAAAGAAGGGTCCCAAACAGTATAGACTTGGGGCAGTGTACCTATGTAGGGAGTGGTTTATCGCCGAAGGATATACTGTTTGGGTACATGAACCCTTCCGGTACGGTCCTAAGCCCACATCCCCGAGCCGCTAGACAAACGAAGCCATCGAAGTCTGAATGTTGAAAGTCGTCAGTCTCATCTGCTCTTTGTCCGGCCAGTTTATGACAAAGCCATGCTCACAATACTGGCTCACCCCAAACCCTAAACTGCGTTTAGGGTTTCAGGTCCCTGCTAGTCTCCCAAACTCTAGGCTGCCGGTACTATATAAGTCGAGAACCATCGACGTCTGCCCGTCTCCCCAATGGAACATGATGTTGACAACTGCCCATATTAAGCGCCTATAAAATAGCGTGTAATTCTTGGTGCCTGTGCTTATCGCTCAGGTCACCCAGCTGATGTCGGAGCCTCAGCATCACGCACAGACCTGTGCGTAGCCCTCTAAGCAGGGTTCCTCCTGCGCCCCTAAACCCTTACCCTAAGCCCACCCTTATTTGGAGAAGGTGCCTGCAGTTCCTCATATGCCTATTTATCTACACGCGCGCACTGGATGCTTGCGTTTTGTGATGTGTCAATAACGATACATGCGCAAAAGTACATAGACATACGTACCCTAAATGTCTATGTGCCCATATGGTAGAGACTTGTCCCTAAACGGGCTCCTATACCGGTACTCCGGGGCCAATGTATACCCATAAAATTACTAGAGTTGAGTTGGCTGCCGCATGTAGGGTTTTAGGTTTCGGGTGTCCGGTTTCTCTTCTTGGCTCTGGGACCTGGGCAGGCTCCTGTATACAGAGACTCAGCAGAGCATGAGGTCTTGGGGTCCACAACGGGGAGCATGTTGTGGCTTTGGTACATGCAGCCTTTAGTGTATAGGGTTTAAGTTTTAGGGTTAAGGGTTGTGTGGTTGTGGTGCATCGCGTCAGTGTTTTCTGAAGTAGTGGTAAGCGCAGTGGGCATGGCACAAGCAGCCTCCAGAGCAAGGTATCTAGCTGCAGTCTTCAGAACTTTGATACGGGTAAGACTGTCGACATTGACGTGCCTGAGATTGACAAGAAATCAGAACCTCGATCCTACTTTATGAGATTTGAATAATTCCTATTCCCGAGGGTTCCTTACTAAGTCATCTTATACCATACCCCAGAGCCCTTGTCTACTTATTAACGTCCCAATGTTGAGTTTTAATCCTAAATCTCCTCACCCTTCAAGTAGGTACTGCTTGCTCACCTAGAAGGTGGAGCCTAGAAAATAGAGCCATCATTGTAGAAGCCAGGCGCTCGAAGCCCAAAGACCTGTCGTATAAAACTCGGTTTAACGGTTTAGGGTTTAAGGTTTTCAGCGTAGGGTTTAGAGTTTAGGTACGGCCTTATGACCTACTACCAAGAGTCCTAAACTGCATCAGGCCAGCGACGGTCGGCGTGCTCCGTCGTGTTGTGGCACTGAATGCACTGGAGCTCCGCTTGGGACTCAGGTCGTTCTCTAAGTCTGTTGTGGACACCCAAGCCGACACAGCGTCCGTTGTGATATCAGCAGAGGCGCAGCTAGTTGCTGTAGGACACAGTAGGATAAAACGAAGGTTCTCTGTGTGTGTCTGGGGGGGGGAGTGGCTTGTGGGGTTTGTAACTACGGGGGAGCGTGCTAGGATATGTGGGCTTTAAGCCGACCACTGCATGAGTACACTATCTTTAGGGCGTCCTCTTCAGTCTTCATATCTTCAGTTTTACGTTAGCTTCTCTGATTTTGTATTGCATTGTATTATTATAATTCATTGTAGTACCAAGTGGGTTCTGCATTAGGCAGTACTCTATTGAATATTGAGTCTGTCCTGGGAAATTGGGCTCTTTTGCCGTTTCAGGGCTCCCAAACCAGGGAGCGTTTCCAATATAGATCCTACTACGTATACACTCGGGTTAGATGACTTGTTAACCGAAATACAGTATGGCTCCTACTACCTAAGCCTTAACCCTACACACTACTGCTTTGTGCTTGCTCAATGAAAGCTTCCACTTAAACCCCTGCCTGAGCCCCTTAAAACCTGCATTTGGACCCTTTAAATAGTTCGAGTCTAAATCAATAAGACTTGGGTTTGTAGAGCGAAACAATATCAGGACTTTTCTGGGGCCAGCTGGGGACACTGATTGTTCGGACATCTACAGTAGGTCTGTCGAAGCTTACATTACACATCTGCTAGTTCCAGCAGCGTGTGCGGTGCACCCAGAAAAGCAAAATTTAAAGCCCCTCTCGAATTCCTAAAGATCCAAGCAAGCCTCCCTCAGCCCCCTTATTTTTGGCTTGCAGAACATGAGGGAAATCAACTGCGCAGAGGAGCAGGCTTTCAGTCAGGGTATTATGCATAGCAAGAGCATGCTTCATGTTAGTTCATACTTGCAATGAAAGCAATGTTGCGGACCTTCGGCTGCCCCTCCTCCTTCGTCTTCTTCTTGTCCTCCTCCTCTTCCTCCTCCTCCTACTACTGCCACTACTCCTGCTACTGCTACTACTACAAATAATAATGATGCTAATACTGCTGCCACTACTACCACTATTTCCAGTACTACTACTACTGCCACCACCACCACCACCACCACGACTACTACTACTACTACTACTACTACTACTACTACTACTACTACTACTACTACTACTACTACGCGGGGTGCATGCGCAGCATGCATCAAAGTGGGATTGGCTAGCAGTTCTTCAGTGCATTGTGATGTGTGCAGTGTCACGGCTTGCTTTGAGTGTGCATGGGCTTGTGGCAGTGCAGAAGCCTGCATCGCGTTTGCATGTTGAGCTTATTCCTGGCATGTGCAGCCATAATCAGCTGCTCGAATGCTGTGAGCAGAAGAAATCCTGTTTCACATCAGGGTGCTCCTAGTTTTCTGTTTCGCGGGCATGGACGAAACTCGTGCAGAGGTCCGCCAGGCCTTGGCCAAGGAGATTCCTCTTGATTGCAACAATGGAGCAGATGAGCGTGTGAAAATGGCTTTGCTATTGACCGCGTGGGAAGCATGCCGCCGTCAGCTAGCAGTCACTGACAAGAACCGGGCTGATGCAAAACTAGGTGTCCAAGATCGTTTGGTCCAGGTCACCGAGTATGCCGCAATGCGTAGCGCTGTGGAGTCATTTCACGGAGCCCTGAGTGACAAAGAGTTGCCATCTAAATCTTTGCTGGTGCAAAAGTTGGAGCAGGTTGAAGACAACTCCCCGCATGTGGAGGACTTGCGCGATGTCACTAGTGTCGAGGATGCCGAGGTTGAGTCCTATGCTGCGGTCATTGACCCTTCATCTTCTTGCTTGCGTTTCAAGCCAGGGCGCACAGTGACAACGCCGCCGTGTACCCCGGAGGAACTTCGGCTTCGCCATCGGCGCATTGGGTTGGCGTGGCACATGGTGCGTTCCAAACATGCCACTCGTTCCTGGCTTTTGGAGTCTGTGGTGGATAGCTTCCGGCGGCTCTCTGACCATGTGTTAGGTGATCGAGTGGCTGGCTTGCGTGCGGAAGATGGTCGGGCTCCTAAGTGGAGTCTCGTGCTCAAGTATGAGGCCGAGCTGCGGAAGCATGCTTACAAGTTCATTCGCACGGGGGAAGCGAAGGATATATTGGGGTTGCCATTGACAAAGCTTGTCGAGCTCCGGACTTGCTTGCGTTCCACTTGGTCACTCCCTTTTCCCTCGGTGCCTTTGTCTTGCAAGGTGCAGTCGCTGCACCTCCAACAACGCTGGCTTTGACAGATCTTCCGCATGTCCCGCCGCCGCCGGAGGCCGCGTTTCAGAGGCCCGGAAAAGGGGCCGGCAAGACTGGCGGCAAGGAGTCTCGCAAGGGCAAAGGCGTGCTCAAGACGGTCGCGAAGCACAAGTTTGCCGGTGATGGCCGCCTTATTTGCTTCTTCTTCAACAAAGCGAAAGGTTGCGCAAAGAAAGAGTGCAAATTTGCCCACGTGTGCCAGCGGTGTCTTGGTGAGCACTCTTATACTGCTTGCCCGCATGTCAAGCGTGCCGAGCGGGCATCCGAGTGACTATCCAGCCGGGCGCCGAGCCAGCTGTTGCCTGCGGTTGGGGCCTCTGCTGCGCAACTGGATCGTGCGCCTCGGAAGAGGCCAGAGGATGCTGTCATCTCACATGTTCCAGTAGTACCTGACGAATGGAAGTGGGAACGCACCGGTGAAGCGGCTTGGGAATTGGAGCCAGAACATTCAGCAGCAGCAAGCGTGGACGCAAGCTCTGATGAAGACGAGGATGGATTCCGCAAAGCAAAGCTGGGAGAGGGCATGCGAGGTCATGGTCCCCCGCTCAACACTGATCTCACAGGCCAGCTAAGAGGTATGTGTGATGGTTTCGGTCTCTGTTCTCCTGGTCGTTGGTCACCTCACTGCCGGAGAGATTCCAGGGATTGCAACTCTTTGCGGTTCGTGGAGGAGCTGGGGGATGGGTTGGAGAGTCTGCTTTGCATATCGTTGGACATTGAACAGCTTGCTTCTTCATTTGCAGAGGGCAAGATTGAGTCCTGCCCCTTCAAGCCGGAGCTCACACAGTCTATTATATGTGGGGCAAGAGGGCACTCTGGCAATTGATCTTCGTTGACGATCTGCTTTGGTTACCAAAGCAGAAAGGGGATGTAGCTAAGATCATGATGGCGATCTTCTTGTATGTCTTGCTCGGCGTCCCTGTCTCCTGGAAGAAGTTCATCGGCGGCTTGGAGTTCTCTTGGGTTGGATTCGCTCTGAACATCAGGATTGCTGCGCTAGGATTGTCTGCATCTAGAGCGGCGTGGGCAATTAACTGGCTAGAAAGTATTGCTGCTCAAGGTCATGTTCGTGTTGGGGATATGCGAGCTGCTTTGGGAAGAATGTCCTTTGCTCTGTCTGCGCTTGGACATTTGCGGCCATTCCTCGGGCCAATCTATGCGTGGGTGGCAGTGCTCGACAATACTACTCGCCGCTACCAACTCTCGAAGGCGATCATCCTGGTGTTGCTATTCCTCGCCAAAGCATTGAAGGGGCAAGGGAGACTGGCTCCGGTCGGAGTGCGTGCAACGTGCGAGAAGGAGCTGTTCCGGACAGATGCGAGAGCCGAAGGTGACGAAGTTTGGACAGGTGGGTGGGCCATGGACCACTCAGATACCAAACAGTGTCGCTGGTTTTCTGAGCGACTCGACCACAAGACTGCGCCGTGGTTATACACCTCTGGCGAGTCCTACAGGCAGATCGCGTCGCTGGAACTCCTCGCCACGTTGGCGGCAGTGGTCGTCTTCGATGTGCCAGATGCAAGCAAGTGCTGCTTCCGTTGTTCGGCAGCAACCGATAACAAAGGGAACAGCCATGTCCTTAGTAGATTGCTTACTACGAAATTTCCGCTCAACGCGTTCCTGATGGAGCTGGCGATGCAGTTGCAGACACGTGGAGCAGAGCTGCATCTCTTTTGGTTGCCGCGCCTGCAGAATGTTGAAGCGGATTCCTTGACGAACAATGACACTGCAAGGTTTGACCCGAGCATGCGCTTGCGCTTTGACCTTTCTTGCTTCACAGGTATCGTGCTCCATGACTTGCTTGAGACAGGATCGCAGCTCTACCAGGAGATCCGGAAGTCCAAGAAAGCGAAGGTTGAGAAAGGCGCAGCAGAGACCATTGCCGAAGACAGCGGCCGCAAGGCACGCAGTGAACCACTCCGAACGCGAGATCCTTGGTGAGAGGATTTAATCGCTGGCTCTGTCACATGTCCGCAAGCGCTAAAGTTGGGGTTCAGGTTTTCGTTGCGACCTTGTAACAGGGCCTGCTAAATGTAGGCCGTATGTTGCCTTGCATAGCTTCGCTCGGGCTGGACTGTCCGTCGTTGGCCCTGGGTCGTCTCTTCCCCTTACCAACGTGACAGGACCTCATTGCGCTGTGGGGCAAAATGAAGGTTGCAGTCCGCTTGCTTCTTGTCTGCGTAAAAATCCCGCGGGGTGCATGCGCAGCATGCATCAAAGTGGGAGTGGCTAGCAGTTCTTCAGTGCATTGTGATGTGTGCAGTGTCACGGCTTGCTTTGAGTGTGCATTGGCTTGTGGCAGTGCAGAAGCCTGCATCGCGTTTGCATGTTGAGCTTATTCCTGGCATGTGCAGCCATAATCAGCTGCTCGAATGCTGTGAGCAGAAGAAATCCTGTTTCACATCAGGGTGCTCCAAGATTTCTGTTTCCCGCCCTCCGCACACACAGAAAACCTGGGTTGTGAGAGGGGGGTTGAGGTTTTCGTTGCGACCTTGTAACAGGGCCTGCTAAATGTAGGGCCGTGTGTTGCCTTGCATAGCTTCGCTCGGGCTGGACTGTCCGTCGTTGGCCCTGGGTCGTCTCTTCCCCTTACCAACGTGACAAGACCTCATTGCGCTGTGGGGCAAAATGAAGGTTGCAGTCCGCTTGCTTCTTGTCTGCGTAAAAATCCCACTACTACTACTACTACTACTACTACTACTACTACTACTACTACTACTACTACTACTACTACTACTACTACCCCTGCTACCATTACCACTACTACCGCTGCTGCTGCTACTATTACTACTAATCATATGACTAAAAATTGCGCTATCACTGTCATAGAAACTTGAGAGAGCCCCTGCCTGAAAGGGGTGGAGGGGCTTCCCGATGTCGACGGGGCCGTGAACGTCTTGCGGGTGGATGCCAAGGCGGGTTTAGAGTACTATTGTTGCATGTCGGCACTTGATTTATGCGGTTTTGCCGATGTTTGTGTGTGGAATTTTGTGTGTTTTTTTCGCCCAGGTTTGGGTTTTGCTTTACGTTTGGGATCCCGGTCTTTGCTTCTAGATCCATGCGAGTGGAAGGGTTGCGTTCGGTTTTCGAATTGGTTGGGACAGGACCAAGAGGTTTTCGGTTTGGGGGTTTTCGAGTCTTGGGGTTTATTATGGGCTGGTTCCGAATTAAGATTGCTCTGTTAAAAGTAGCTCCCCTGCTGTGGCACTTCGTCTATATGCCATGCGAGCTTAGAGTGTTATACAGTTCTAAACCCCTAAACCCTAAACCCCTAACCCCTAAACCCCTAAACCCTAAACCCTAAACCGTTATACAGCCACACCCCGAGCCCCAAGGCGCCAATCTCCCAACCCCTTGTACTCATATTCCCCCACTGACGCCTTCTCCTGGCCATAAACCCTGAACTCTTAACTTGCCTGTGGTTAGATTTTTGAAATTTTGCAAAGAATCTCAAGGGAATGGAAGGATGGTTGTAATAGTAGTTATAATTGCACCCCATTCCTCCATTCCCTACTAACCAAAGGTAAGAAATCACACCTGACGTCGCCATCGCCGTAATACACAAAACAACGGCAGAGCTCATCAGCCAGGTGCCAAGGAATTTCTATGGCGGTGAACCTCCAAATGACAGCCTCAAGCCTTGCAACCAACTTACCCACAGCCTGAGCCCCTTCACCCCAATCACATGCGTGATGGGCTCTCAGCGAACATCAGACCCTTTGCCGTGATCTTCTAAACCCTAGACCCGCGGAATACTTCTAAGCCCGAACATCCTAAGCCCCAGCCCAAATCCTGCTGGAAACCTGCTAAAATCCTCACAGAACTCGCATAAAATCCGTTCGCACCCTCATGACACCCTGAACCCTAAACCATGATGAACCCCCTAACCCTCACACGCCGCAACCCAAAGCCCTAAAGCAGCCTAGACCCCTAAAACCTGACAACACCCTACCCATGAGACTCAAAATGGCCCAAGAGTCTCCCATAGTGTGGTCTTGCTGCCCAAAAGCCTCAATATACGAGTCAACCCTAAACCCTAAACCCTAAACCCCAATATACGAGTCCCTCGAGCCTGTACGAGCCCCTAAACCCTAAGCCCCAAAACGGCAGACGAAGGGACGACAAGAGAACAGACAACCTAAGAGCTCCGGATCGTAAAGGTCCCCCTGGACTTCAAAGCCCTGAACAAGCACTACGAGCGTTCCGCACCCAAGCAGAGGGTTTAGGGCTTTTGAGATTTGGGGTTTACGGTCTGGAAGTTCGTGTTTAGGGGATTGAAGGTTTAGGATCTAAGGCTTCGTAGGTTTTTGTTTTTTTTGGGCTCCGGCTTTAGGGCTCTAAGGATGTAGGGTTTAGGGCTGATGATTTAGGGTTCAGGGGTTCAGGATTGTGATGTGGGATTTCGCGGTAAGTTCAGCTTTGCTCACAGGTTTGTTTAAGTGTACTTGGAGGTTCATGGGTAGTTATAAGTGGGGTTGTAATCAGAGTAACTATGGTTATAACCCCTATTAGGGGACTTTCAACCCTATTTATAACCACTGAACCTCCAAGCAGGCTTTGCAGTTTCAGTTTGTGGCTGGAGTACGGCAGGCCCCAAACTCCAACCCTGAAGCCTTGTAAATACTGGCAGAGCAACACTGTGGGTAGAGGTACGGCTGACAAAATCCTGCATGACCTTGAGGGCCATAAACTATGGGAACTATGGTATTGACTTTATAATAGGTAATGCAGGATTTTGCCCGTCAACAGTAGCTCCGTCGCGACAGCCATGCCAGAACTTCAAACTGGCAGGATGCATTTTCGCCTCTGCACGAGGATCTCTATCGCGCAGGGTTTCGAATCCGGCTTGCCACCTCCTCTCAGCATTCCAGGCTCGAATGTCGCTTTCAAGAGCACCCAAGAGTATCTGCAGTTCTGACTTTGAAGTTGGGGTAATTATAGGGTGAATGCCTGAGGAATGCAAGAAATGACAGACCGCGCCACATTTTTGCTTGCTTAAGAACCCAGGAAACTTGCCAAGCTAGCATGTTGCGTGTGTGGGCGTGGGCCCAACATGTCCACAATCCCACAGACCCTTCCAAGCCTAAACCAATGCAGCTGCACCCGTAGCCCGAAGCCGATAGGCAATGGGTCACACCGGTGATTGCCAATCACAAGTATTAAGGCAAGCCCACGCCCTAACCCTCAAGCTGAAAGTCCGACTCCTATCGAACTTGGTGCCCTAAGTAGGGTTGAAGGGCTTGACACGACGCCATGGACCGTCATGTCGAATGCTAGCTGCTGTGCCTCGGGATGCCCCTGTGCTGCATCAGTGGATCTCTGTTCTTTCAGGGTTTGTATAGGGGCCTTAACAATTACATGTTTTTTGGGCGGGGGTCCTTACTGTACTATAACATACCCCAAAGCCCTGTCCTAAGTAGTACGGCCCCTACATCAGCTATAAAGTACCCGTAGTAGTATAGGGCCCCAAATTAGGGGATCTACTTTTCCTGATAGATCCCTAAACCCTAAACCCTAAAGGATACCTTAAAGGAGCCCTTTACGGAACCCTACTAAGTCTACTTTCTAGGGTTTTGGATTTAGGATTGAGGGGTGTAGCGGGTCAGGGCTTCCGGATATTTGAGGTTCGTGCACATCATCGGCGTTTTTTATTTATACAATCTGGTTGATGATGATGTTGATATATATATATATATATATATATATATATATCTCCTGCATTGCTCATAATGCGGAAAATACCATAATTCCCACAGTTTAGGGTCCTTAAGGTAATGCCTGATGTATATCATCAACGGCAAGATCATGGACACAGTGCGGGCATGTTGTTCCGCTTCCCTGATGCCAAACTGTAGTCTGCAAGCATCAGGTGCGGTATGCGATGTAAGCTCCGATGTCTACACTTATTGTAGGAGCCAGTACAGCGAGCCAAAGACCCAACAAGCTGTTATCCATTTGGGAAAGGTCAGGGACCCTTCTTTTCAAATCAAGATGCCACTATTTTTGGGCGTTAGATTAGGATTCCTTGTTTTCTGGAAACGCCTGTCCCATTCGGGATCCTATCAATGAGTATTGGGCAGGCTAGGGGCGTGGGTTTGGAAGTTCTCAGATGTGGCTAAACCCTAAAGTGTTTTGTGGTGCTTTCTTGCTTATCTATGTGTTTTTTTGGGAGGTGGATCCGTATCCCTTCCTACCTGCACCCGACCTAACCTACCTGGTTCGGGTTCCTGATCGAGGCCATCGAGCAAGACCTACTACGACCTTCTGGGGGCCACTTGTGCTGCTTTCAGGTTTTCTTTCGGGTTTAGGGTTTAGGGATTCAGGGTTAGGGGTTTAGGGGTTTAGGGCTTAGGGGCTGTCGGGTTCAAGCTTCACTTGCTGTGCAAGTTTGGAGTTTGGGTTCAGGAGCAGCTTTTTGGGTTTACAGATCCTTGGTTTCGGGTTTAGGGTTTAGGAGGTTTCCAGGTTTAGGGCCGCAGGGTGGTTTCGCTGGCTGTCAGATGTTATGGCAGGTCCCACATGCAGGAGTCTGCAGTTTTGGGGCTTTTGAGGGTTTAGGGTTTAGGGCCTGGCTAGGTAGTTTGGGCTTTTGTATGTATGAGTTGTTAGTTGCATCTTGTTTCGGTTGTTATTAACTGTTCTCGGGTTTAGGGGGCTCACGGGTTCGGCTTTGTGGTTTTAGCGCCTCGGGTGTATCTGGTCGAACGTGTCCAGGGGAAACCGAAAGCACCAGCAATTGAGACGAAGCTGTCCCTAGTCCCTAGGCTCAGGGTTCTGCATTCGAGATTCGGTGTTTGGAGTTCCTGTCGGAAGAGGACAAACGGTTGATGATAGAAATCCTGCATTACCCATAATAAGGAATATACCATAGTTCCCATAGTTTAGGGTCCTTAAGGTAATGCGGGATATATATATATATATATATATATATTTATATTTATATCATCAACAGAAGGTCTGGAGATTGAAATTGGATACCTGGGGCTTCGACTTCTCGTCTTTGGAGCCCCATGTAAACCCGTGGTCTGGAAGTGAGAGCGAAGTTAACCAACAAGTAACGTCTGGAAAGTCCGAAATTATCCAAGGCTCAAGGAACAATACACGCACAGGGGCCTTCATAACTCGAACAGGGTTTCGGTGGTTCCTTCATATATTTATAGTATAATATTCCCCAAAACCCTGTTCTACTTGCTGAGGCCTCTACAATAAACTGAGTGTCCTTATAGTATCCCTTAAAGGAACCCTTTAAAGGAGCCCTAGCCTCTACAATTAAACTGAGTGCCCAGGTGGACCGTGATGCTTCTGAAGCCGAGATCCACCGTGCCTACAAGAGCTTCACCAGCAAGATTCGAGTTTGGGGGTTGAGGTCACGATCGGCTGTGAACGCGAAACCCTAACCCCTAAACCCCAACCCGATCGACCCTAAACCCCAACCTCTAAACCCTAAACCCCAACCCCTAAACCCTAAACCCCAAACCCCAACCCTCCAAACCCCAAACCCCAACCCCTAAACTCTAAACCCCTTAACCCCCAAAACCCTAAACCCCAACCCAGCTCTACCTTGTTTGCTCTGTTTCGAAGCGTCAGACCGATGCTTGGGCTCCTGGACCCTGCCTATAGTCTCCATTGGAGTTCCTTTTTTTCAAGGTAGGGCTTTGGGACATTTTATATTTTCCCTTATTGGGCTTAAGAGGATCTTATTTACTATTTTTTCAAAGGCCTTAAAAGCCGCACCTAGTTTTGGTTAACCAGTTTTATGGTTAGGATCCCATGATACAGATTTTGGTTAGCCCAAAAACGGAACTACAATGGAGACTATAGGTAGATTGTGAGGGAGACCGTTCGCCCTTTCACAAACGACTGGGTTGTTGTTAAGGAGTCGGAGTATATTTTAAGTTACCTTAGAATAAGGAAACCGTTTCATCTACTATAGATTTCCATCATTGTCTCTCATATTACTCCTCGAGGAGCACATACTTAGTCATAAGGAAGTCCCGTGATCCTTTTGCGCACGTACAAAGCCCCACTCCTTCGGCACACAGCCAGCCTCTTCACATGTCCTTGCTCTGTTTGAGCTTGCGTCACCTGAATTTGCTTCATGACGTCCAGGTTTTGGGTTCGGGCTTGGGGGGGGGTTCAGGGCTCAGGGCTGTATAGGTTTCATGCACGGGTTCGTGGGTCTGGAAGTGTTGCGGTTTGAGGGGCCACTTTAAACATGAATCTCGGGTGCAGGCTTCTAGCCCCCCCGCAACATCTACTATGTGGGCTTGGTTTTCTGGCTGTTGGTTCTTGATAGTGTTGTACCATGATTGCAGTTTAACCTGTGCCCTTGAGTTGCTGGAAAGGCCAGCCCATTTTAGGGTTCAGGGTTGAAGGGTTCAAGGGTTTAGGGGTTTCGGGGTTTGGGGGTTTAGGGGTATAGGCTTGAGGGCTTAGGGTTAAGGGGGACTAGGGGTTGACGGTTTAGGGTGTTGGGTTCAAGGCCAAGCCTCTAGCCGAGAAGAACCTGCGACCATCCGGAGTCACACTGAGAGAGGCCTGCACAAGAGGTTTAGGGTTTAGGGCATCGTAGAAGAGGGTTAGCCACGTTAGGAAGCAAGCTCTCCAACACCCCAAACCCTGAGCCCAGGAAGAAAGCTCTCCAACACCATCCGGATAAGAATCCAGGCGGCCCCGGTAGACACTGGGAGGGTGGCAGGGATCGATCTCTTAGAGAGAGCTCAGCGATTATACAAGGATTTGGGGATGTTTAAGATCTATGGTCACGGGTTCAGCGCCTTCACGAAGTGCTGAACTACCGTCTAGATATGTGTGCCAAGACCCTACACATGATGAGTTGTCGGACGTCGTTGCATTCCCGGAGCGCATGGTGTGGTTACAGTGTGTGGATGTGTGTGGCTACATTCTGTGCGGGTGCATTAGGCATGTTTGGCTGCCTGACGCGGGTTTCTTTGAGGCGACGGCAAGCATTGTTACGACATCAAATGCCAGCGAAGCCAGTATCTTGCAGCGCTGTACTAGCCGCTTCAGATTGCTGCCATTATTCCGGTTTGCATACTCGTAGTACTTTGTATTGGAATGATGGTGCACCACTGCTGTAGTGGTTTGTGGTGTTATTGCTGTTGTTGTTGGCGGTGGCTTCTGGATCTGACAAAGCCTTGCAACTTCCCGTAAGGCCCACTAGCCAGTCATTACGGAAT